ATAACATGGCAACATTTGAACAATGTAACTAATGTACCTTTCGCCTTTCTTCGCCTTTGTCGTCATGGCTTTTAGCTTGCTTAGTTGGGGACATGAAATATTATATTTAACAATATTATTACAACATTATGTTGTTATCTCTGTAAAGCTGCTTTGAAACAATCTGTATTGTAAAAAGCGCTATATAAATAAAGGTGACTTAACATGTATTATTTATTTATTTATTTTAGTTTTCATTTGTATTCTGATGACATTGAACATATTGTTAACATTTTGTATATTGTATACAAAGTTGTATGTCATAAACATGTCATCTCTGTATGTTTTGCCAAAAAAAAAAAAAAAAAGAGTAGACTGAGCTGTTAGCAAGTTCATCACTAAATGGGGTCACCTGCACCTTGGTTGTGTTGTGAACTTTTGCAGCGCGTTTCTGTATTTGGTTGTGTTGTGAGTATTTGGAGCAGATGTGTTGTGAAATTGATGAAGATGTTTTCTTAATTTGCGGGTGATTTTCATTTATTCATTCATTTTCTTCAGTTGCAGCGCAGTTGAGCTCTCTCGGCCACCGTATTGGTTCTCTTCACTATATTTTCCTGAAGTAAAAAAAAAACACTACCTGTCTAAAAGTGATTACCTGTCTACTTGATTCAAGTTTATTAGTGTGCAAATATATTCACATTTGATTTGATTCAATTACAATTGAAATGGCTTTGATTTGATTAATTTCACTTTACTTAAATGATACCTGACAGAGTAAAGTTTATGAGTGTGAAACCAGATACACATTTAATTTGGTTTGATTCAAATTAATTTGGTTTAGTTTTGATTGGATTCAGATTCGATTTACTTCACTTGCATGCCTTTTATCATTGCTGGCAACAATACAGATAATGTAATCCTGTTAGGGCTGGTGGAACCATTATTTCCATTTAGAAGAAAAATTACTTAATAAGGCTAGCCAAAGCCCAAAGGATAAGCATTATATTGATATTTTACCTCAATATGCAACTCACATCATGTGCATATTTAACTTTCTCTTTTACAGCATCTCTAAATAGAAAAATCGCTCACCTCCTTTTCTAAACTCAGTGATCAAATCACTAAACTTTGCTATAGTTCAAAGGTAAACAAACACACCATTTATATAACCCTTGTGCTCTGTTATCACTGTTATTTATTTGTTTAAAGAGGGAGAGGAGTCTAAACTTTAAGTGACATGTAGAGAAAAGGTTCTCTGTGAAAGTTCTCAGTGGGAAAGTGATCATGTTTCTATTAAGGGTCAGGTCAGTGTGACCTCTCCTTGTCCATTGTGACCCCACGATACTGTGCATCTCAGTCTTGTATTAGGAAACTGTGTGTAATGAATGCCATTGACACAGCCTTTGTTTAACACAAACTGGCTCTCCACAGAGCCATGGTCTGATATGTTTACTTTGTTAAACATGTTGTTGACACTGCCATCATTACAAAGCAAGTTGCTCTGCCACTATTGTGATGTAGTGATACTAGAGTCGCATGTGACTCAATGACTCAATCTGTTTTGGTATTTCAAATTATTCTTCAAAATTGAGCATGAATGTGAAAAACAAAGTCAGTGAGAACGTGAATAAGAATGTGGCTCAGACGCTTGAACATAAAATAGGAATTACAACGGAGCACTGTTTGGAAAACTGACACCAAACAGCAGTGTTAGCCCAAGCTTAAAACAATGTAAACACTGTTTACTGTATACGGGATTGAAAATGGATCCTTAATATTTAGCAATCAAGTTGAAATTTTAATTAGAGCTCTTAGCTCATATCCTGATATCTGATAAAGGAAAATGTGCTCATTTTCCTTTATGTGCAATAAAGGAAATTGTACTTAATGTCAGTGAGGAAGTGAATGTCTATGTGTTGCATCATTTGTAAAAAACAAATTAAAATAGGTTGTGAATCTCTACGTATTTTCACATAATTAATCATACAGAAGGGCACATCTGAGTGTTGGGATACATGTTTCATACTGGATAGGTTATGAGGTAATCATTCATTGTGACTGATAATATGCTACTTAATATATATATATACAGCCATGACAGGCAATGAATACACTCATTGACAACAATTATTCTCTATTTGAAGTCTTTTAAGGATGACAGCTCATAAAAACAGTTTTTAATGTAGATCAGGAATCTACCAGTTGTCACACTGAAATAACTGACTGAATCATTCATGTTGCTGCTGTATCATTGCTCATGTTAGAATACGTATTCACTTTTCGACTGATGTGACCTCTTTCTCTTAAAAATATTAAAAAATTTACATTCAGAAATTAATTTTCATTCATGTCAATGTTAAGCTTATGAAAACACTACCTGACGGAGTGGAGTTTATGACTGGTCATTGGAGATAAAATAAAGAAAATATAGAGGAAGAGGATATGTGTTCAAAATATCATGCAGCAGAACAAAATGACATCACATAATGCTGGTGTCACAGCTTAGTTGCTGCAATAATAACTCGACGAATAATTACTCAAAAAGGAAATAATATATAATATAATAATTAAACTCAGACAAGCACTGAAGATGACAGGAGAATAAAACAACCAACTAAAGACATCGCAGAACGAAGAACAGAATGAACTGAGGGCGTATATACACACTGGGATCGTTAACTGTAACGAGGTTCAGTTGTTATGGGAAGATGGAGGCAGGAACCGGTGAACATTCAACAAGTTTAATAAATAAATAAATACAAAAATGAAAGTATAAGCCAGCAGCCCCTCGCGGACGACTGCTGGCTACACAAAACAGAAACAAAACAAAATCAGGCCTGTTCCTCTCTCGATCTCCACTGTCGTCGCTCCTCCTTTTATGCTTCCGCTCCTCCGTGAGAGATACGAGACCGGTGCGTCGCGCAGGTGTCGCTCATCAGTAATCACGCCACCGGCCTGAGGCGGAGCCGGGGGGGACATAGGACGAAGGTGAAGCCGAAGGTGCAAGCAGAACGACGTCTGACCAAGGCGGAGCCGGTGGGATGAGGGAGCTCGGTGGAACCATAAGGACAATGGTTTCTGGTGGAGCTGAGGGAGGGAGGAGCCAAGGCGAAGCCGATAGGTCGACAGGCCGCGGTGGAGTGATGGGTTCGTAGGCTGGAAGTGAGCCAGGGGAATCTCCTTAGGGTGGAGCTGGTGAAACAGGAGACTCTGGGCGGGGCGCGGGTTGTGGGAGAGACTGGGAAATATCTTCCTCAAACACCTCCAAATCACTTCCATTCAATCCATATCCACGACGGCGGGGTTGTGTGCAGGGCTTGCCGCCATGCCCTTGAACTCCACAATAACTCCCTCAGCGACGCACAGTGTTGCCAGGTCACAAACCTGGTCAGACTCTCCGTGTGGCTCAGGGGACAAGGTCTCTTCCCGTCCTCCTATAAGGCTTGGGCTCCACAACCTGGTGTCCTCTTGTAAATCCTCCTCCTGCATCTCGCATGGAAGGGCTGGCTAAACTCTGGGTCTGGAGTGGGGCTAGTGTGGTCCTCAGCCAGGCCCACGGTCAGTGCCGAATTGTTGTTCACCAGCACCCACTCCACAAAAGTGGAGAAATCCTCCTTTAGACCATCCACATTTTTTCAAAATATATAAAAAAATAAAAAAAATAAAACAAAAAGATTACCCAGATTCCCTCTACAGGGCCCTAATAACACAAAGAATAATATATGTTCAGCTGCTCGTATTATCACCCGTACCCCCTCTATTCATCACATCACTCCTATCTCAGCTCCATTGGCTACCTATCATTTACCGTATCAACTATAAAATACTTCATTCATAATCTCGCCCCTTCATATCTTTCTGATCTTCTCCATATACCCACACCCGCTCGCACTCTTAGATCCTCTTCTTCCATCCATTTCACTGTTCCCCGTGTCCGGCTTGTTGGGGATCAGAGCTTTCAGCTGCTCTGCCCCTCAGCTTTGAAACTCGCTTCCACCGGACCTCCGTAATATTGATTCCCTCTCACATTTTAAATCAAAACTTAAAACCCATCTTTTTAGAATAGCTTACTCCCTCTGATCACAACTGGATTGTATTTTAATTGTATTGTATCACATAGTTTCTTAATTAAATATTGTTATTGTTTTGTTGATAATGTATGGTGACCTTGAGTGTCAAGAAAGGCACCTAAAAAAAAATGTATAATAATAATAATGTTAATTGGGCCCGTGGAGGATGGGCCCCCTGGGAATCTGGGTAATCTTTTGTTTTGTTTTTTTATACTGCAAAATTATATTTTTATACTTGCTGTTCGGTTTAGCACAGGCAAAGCAGAACATTCTCCTGCCTAAAGCAAATACACACACTTACTAAAGGAAATCTGAATTAAACACGTACCCTAATTCACTTGAATTATTCTGGTGCTATTAATTATAACCCATAGTACGGAAGCGTATTGCATTCACTTGAAGAAAAAAAATCTACTCTGTTTTTCTGGATTAACGAGTTAATTATCTCAGAATTACGAGATAATTTTTCATGAAAAAAAAGTTGTTGCTCTGTTTTTCTGAATTAACGAGTTAATTATCTCAGAATTTTTCATGGAAAAAAAGTTTTTGCTCTGTTTTTCTGAATTAACGAGTTAATTATCTCAGAATTATGAGATACATTTTTCTTGAAAAACATTTGTTTCACTCTGTTTTTTATGAATTAATGAGTTACTCACAATTTTTAGATAATTAAGTCATTAATTCAGAAAAACAGAGCAAAAACTTTTTTTCCATGAAAAATTATCTCGTAATTCTGAGATAATTAGCTCGTTAATTCAGAAAAACAGAGTAGATTTTTTTCCTCAAGTGATTGCAATACGCTTCCGTACCATAGAACAATAGTTCCTCCAATTAGATTTATAATTATGTTCCCTTAAAGATCTTGCAACTTTGGAGATATCAGCTCTTATAAAAGATCACATTTAATATAAATGAACAAAAATCAGCCAGAAAAAAATAAGCAGAACTTACTGTGGCTGTATTCCTAAAGGATCTGATGTCGATAAAGACTGGCAGGTTGTGTTAAATCCTATTTTCTGCTCTTTCTCACGTCCTCACTGGTTATGGAAATTAGTCTTCACGAGGCAAACCAGTATCAGAACGAACATATTTTAGAATCAAGCCTCTTTATAACAACCCTTGCTGCCCTTTCCCTTTCCACCGAACTGCTTTGTCCATATATTCTTGTCATCTTTTTTGTTGTAGTATGTCTTATTCTATATGGAATGGGGAATAAGGAAGTGCTCGTGTTCATTTTCTCTATTGTTATCTTGCAAATTAGAGCTCTCAACACATCCCGATATTTGATATACAGGAAAATATGCTCAGATTACTTCATTACCAGAATATGTGTGGACGGAAGTAAATGTCTATAGATGTCCTGCATCATTACAGTAAATCCAAAGTAAAATAGGTCGTGAGTTTTTACTCCAACATAATTAGGACACATTGAGTGTTGGAATAAATGTTTCAATCAAATAAGGTATACATTGTCAGTGGTAATCATATGATAGTAGTTCTTATTATATTCATATACAAAGACGTTAGACACAATAAATGAAAAAAAAAATCATTATAGTGTTTACATCTTCGTATCATGTGGATATTTCAGATATGAATTTATTCTAATATTTAGCTTGTGCACTGTTTGTACAATAGTAGACATCTGTTTAAAGTGTTTACTTTATGCCTCCTATATACCAAGGCTTCGAAAGCCCTCATTTTAAACCACAAACGTGTTATTATTGTAATATTGCATCCTGCGAGCTGCACGTGACAGGTTGTGGTATTTGACTTGATCTCAGTGTTCAAAACATTCTGAGAACTCTGCAGTGAGCGCTGCATCCATCTGCCTTTCTTCTGCATGTTCTTCTGAGCTCTGCACCTGTTTGTGTGCAGGGCAGCGGCACTATTTGCATGAAATTCACAATTTTGAAATAAAGATAAAGAGGTAGGTGCAAAAGGGGAAACCCCCTCAGCAGAACATAATTTTCCTCTTAAAGGGTTAGTTCACCCAAAAATGAAAATTCTGTCAGTAATTACTCACCCTCATGTTGTTCCAACCCCGTAAGTCTTTCGTTCATCTTCGGAACACAAATTAAGATATTTTTGATTAAATCTGAGAGCTGGATCACTCCTCCATAGGCTTCTTAAGGGATCGAAACTGACCGGCCCAAAAGTTATGAAAGACATTGTTAAAATAGTCCGAGTGACTACAGTGGCTCAACCTTAAGTTTATCAAGTGACGAGAATACTTTTTGTGCACAAAAAAAACAAACAAAAATAACGACTTTATTTCAATTATTCATTTCCTTCTCTGTTCGGCCGTGATATTTCACGTAGTGATATTGCGCAAAGTTTCTAGGTTGCACGTCACACGCAGGCTCACTATTGGCCGACGCTGGTCATGTGTGTGATGCGTGACGTACAACCTAGAAGCTTTACAACCAAATATCACGGCCGTACAGAGAAGGAAATGATTAGTTGAATAAAGTCGTTATTTTTGTTTGTTTTTTTGCGCACAAAAAGTATTCTCGTTGCTTGATAAACTTAAGGTTGAGCCACTGTAGTCACTTGGACTATTTTAACGATGTCTTTCATAACTTTTGGGCCGGCCAGTTTCGATCCCTTAAGAAGCCTATGGAGGAGTGATCCAGCTCTCAGATTTAATCAAAAATATCTTAATTTGTGTTCCGAAGATGAACGAAAGACTTACGGGGTTGGAACAACATGAGGGTGAGTAATTACTGACAGAATTTTCATTTTTGGGTGAACTAACCCTTTAAAATGAAAATTTGTACTTTGATCCTCCACCTCACATTACATGTATCTGTTACAGACATATAAAAAAAAAACTTTCCACAAGGCCCTCACTCTTTACATACTGTTTATGTGGTTAAGATATGCTCACTTGCTGCTGAGGGTAAAAGGAAGGGTGGTTTTGAATTTTGATGAGACATTAAAGCATCAACATGTGCGATAGCTGTGAGATAACAAAACAAAAAAAGGAAAATCAGTCAATTCCTGCAAATGCAAGCTTCTGACATTGTCAGGGCATTATTCAAATATGAAAAGTTTCATTATTTACTCATATGACTTTCTTTCTTCTGTGGAACACAAAATTAAACACTTTGAATAATATTGTGCTCTTTCCATGCAATAACAACGAACAGAAATTGGAGTTTTCACATTTCAAAAAATGTGCTAAAGCTCTATAAAGTATCAATTCATGTATTCATTTTTCTTGTCCTATGAATGCAATGTAAATTGTTATTCAATGATGATCTGTTGACCATTGTGACCAGATCATTGAGTCACTGAGTTGAACTCAAGAAGCGAATCAATCAGATTTGTGAACTAATCATGCAAACTGTGAATTGCACCAACCAATTAATCGAAGAGACATCAGAGACTCATGATGGTGTCACAGAGAGCTACTTTAGTATGTTCCTCACAAACAAGCTACAGAAGACACGGCTTGTTTTTGCATGCTTTTATAAATGCCTCTCCGAGCTGATACGCAATCGGAAAAGGGAGAAGAATGAGTTCGGAAAAAAACAAACAGATTAGAACTCGGGTTGGTCGCGTGACAAGTTAACGTCACCCGCCTTACTCCATGCCAAAAGCATTTATTATCAAAAGGGTTTCTTTTGTAATTGTGTCTGGCTTAATCAGACAATACTGGGCGGAGTTAATGTAAATAGCATCTGCCAACAAAACGGGCTGTTTGCACTTGGTCTCTAAATAGACAAAGTAGGCTAATACCAGTTTGAAACAACATGAAAGTGAGTAAATTATGACAGAATTATCTTTTGAGGTGCATTATACCCTTGAGGTACAACAAAAAGCTGGAACAGTATTATTTCTAGAAATTAATAATATATGTTATTAATAAATATTTAATAATAATATATTAAACTAATATAATTACATGTTCCATTTTTTTATATATATACTAAGAGATAGCATATATAATTAATTGTCAACATTCATTACCAACAAATGGGATTTCACAAACGGGGGGGTGCGATAAGTGCATGACTGTGTTTAACTCTTTCTCATTTACAAGGCTGAACTTTATCTTTCTGGTTTTGTATGTCTTCTCTCATGTTTCCTGTTCTGTCTTATGCAAGCTACTTTTTAATTAAAGGGATTTTTTTTTTCATTCTGAGAGAGAAAAGCCATGAAGGGAGTCTTTTTTGTGCTAAAGTTACATCACTCCACTGAATTAGAAAATCACACATGTGGTCAAGCTAGCCACCAGCCTGCTGCATTTCATTTAGTGCACAACAGAGGGCAGCACGTACCACATGCACGTGTACCTAAACCGCTCCACCCCCACAAAGTGTGCACTGTAATGAATGAGAAAGCAGAAAATCTTTCCATCTGATTCATAACCAGACAGGTGACATTAAACTAGGTGACAAACGTAGGTGTATATAAGAAAATGGCGTGATGACATTCTGTGACATAGGCCTACTACACATTTACCAGAACAGAACGTTTACTTCAAATAAAAACATTCTAGCATGCCACATTTGTCCTTAAATCATGAAAATGATTATAACTCATGAAAATGAAAATGGAAACAGAGCCTCAATCTTGGTGTGACTGAAAGAGATGTCGTCAGTGATAAACTAAACTATGTAGCCAGTAAGCTAAAGAAGCAATCAGAGCAAGCGATCATAGTCAGGTGAAAATGAAGAACCAATGTGAAAGGCTGGGCCAGACAATGTTAAAAAAGAGAATGAAGACAGACCAGTTCATAAAACATCAGCTTTTCTCAGTCTACAGACGCACGCACAAAGCCAGTTAGCAACATAGCAAGTTAGCACTGTATTAGAAAAATATATGTTTATCTAAGATAAAAGGAGCATCTTACTTCAACTCTTTTTCAGGGACACATCATAACAAAAGTACATCTATTCTCAAGAAAAAGGCATCATGGGTAAGAAACTCAATACTGCTGTTCATAAAAAAGCTCCTCTAACCAGAAGACATCACATTTCTTAGGTTTAATTTAAAAGCGCTTTGTTAGTCTTATGACAAATTTCTTGTGAAGTTGCTTTGGATAAAAGCATCTGCTGAATGAATAAATGGAAATGAATTAAAGTAAACGTGTTTTTGTTTTCAACATATTTTCACAATTAATAGGCTAAGTTTATTCTGATCAGGGGCTGGTAGTGCATTCGTTCGACTTTTTAAATAGCACAGGTCTATCACACGTTATAGGCTAAGCTAATAGGCCTTTGCTTTTAGCGGTTAGCACTTAGCATTCAGAACAAGCAATTGTTGTGATTTAAGTGTATTGCAACTATGTTTGTGTCCATGTTTGTGCTGTGTGTTTGTGTTTTTTGTCAAACTATTAGTCACAAGTTGGAAAACTATTATGCTAAATTAATTTTTATAAGGTGTTTGCACACAGATGTGTGTCTACAGTGTGTGTAAACAACCAGCCTAAAATTATTAAAAATCCACCCAATACTTTTTTTATAATCCCCATAATTAATTAACAATCTCTGGTTTCAGATTTCCCCCTACTCTTAAGAGTAAGCCCCGCCCATGACTGGTGACGATCTGCCCTATTAGCATAGATATTTTGTGTGATGTACAATAAACTTCATAAAACTCATCAGTACATTTTTGGCCATCATTTGGATGGGGTCTGCTACAACAAGCCTGTACTAATAGTGGATAAAAGCAAGATGACATGATAAGTTATGACTAGAATTAAACTAAACTATACCTGTTGTAGCTCTGGGTCTGTAGGCTGAACACTGCAGACAGTTTCAATGTGTGAGATTGTCCTATTTTGTGGCCATAGAGCTCTTAAAGCTGCTGTCTTCTAGAAAGGGGGCGGAGAGCAGCAGTTCATTTGCATTTAAAGGGATACACAAAAACGGCGCGTTTTTGCTCACCCCCAAAAAGTGGGAATTTTAAAGGGTTAGTTCACCCAAAAATGAAAACGCTGTCAGTAATTACTCACCCTCATGTTGTTCCAACCCCGTAAGACTTTCGTTCATCTTCTGAACACAAATTAAGATATTTTTGATTAAATCTGAGAGCTGGATCACTCCTCCATAGGCTTCTTAAGGGATCGAAACTGGCCGGCCCAAAAGTTATGAAAGACATCGTTAAAATAGTCAGAGTGACTACAGTGGCTCAATCTTAAGTTTATCAAGCGACGAGAATACTTTTTGTGCGCAAAAAAACAAACAAAAATAACGACTTTATTCAACTATTAATTTCCTTCTCTGTACGGCCGTGATATTTCACGTAGTGATATTGCGCAAAGCTTCTAGGTTGCACGTCACACGTAGGCTCACTATTGGCCGACGCTGGTCATGTGTGATGCGTGACGTACAACCTAGAAGCTTTGCGTAGTTTCACTAATATGGTTTTATCAGTTGTTTTATCAAAAATATGGTTAAATGTTGTGCCTGGGGCATTTGTAACACAGATACGCGTTTCCCAGAGAAGTTGGAGGGGGGTGTCCGTTTTTTTCCCTTCCCAAACCGAAGTGTCGTCTAGCACACGCTGCTAATAAATACAACGTTATACTCGCGTAGTCCGTTTGCTTTGTAATAACGATTATAGAAGTGAATAGAGACCTACCCAGCTTTGCATGAACAGTGTTGCTCCTTGATATTGTTAGTCCCAGCCTCCGTCTCGATTAGTAGGATATGCGGCGGTTCATTTTTTGACTCTGACCGGTATGCTTTTGCCTCTATTTGGATGCCTTGTTGTTCCTTGCGTTTCACCTGTATGTCGTGAATATAGCCTTCGAACGTATATTGCAGCCCCTTTTGCCTACTTCTATCAGACACTTTATTTGCTGCTTTATAAAAGTTTGATAAAATTTCAGCAGGAAGAGCTGTCACAGCATAAGCCATGTTGATACCAGAGCCCAGATGAAGTTTGTTTGTCGGACGTAGCAACAGTAACTAAGGGGGGCGGGGCTTAGCCAAAGGCGAATTGTGTGCTGTAGTTTTGATACCATTGTTTTTTGAGTTATGTGAAGTGTTGTTTAACATTAAATGTTCAGAAAACTGCCTGTATGTATTTTAAAATTAAAAAGGAGGACAGATATATTAGTTAATGGTGAAAAATTACAAATTGTGCCAGAATTTAAATATCTTGGAGTTATCTTAGACAGTTATCATATATTTTTATATGCTTTGAAAAGTATATCAAAAAATTGTCTGCGCAGTGATACCTCTGAAGAAACCTTAGAAATTTTTAATTTATACGGAGTCAACTTTAAATAGAAGCTGCAAGAATGTATTTGCATTCTTTGATTTGTTTTTTAATTTTTCTTAATGTATTCATGATCACAAGCAGGAAAATCTACTCTTAGACCTTTATATAGCCTACCTTATATAAATGTGCTTTAAAAGTATTTGACAAGAATAGATAGATATCATCATTGTTTTATAATTCAAAAGCCATTTGAACAAAATTAAATAATAATTTAAATAAAAAATAATTATTGTTTAAAGCTGCAGTCCACAGTTTTTCCTCTTTGTCGCCATCTCTGTTCGAAATCTGCAATTGCAGTTATTATCAACTTTACGTGAGTTGTACTTCAACACCCTCAACACGGCACAGCTCGGATGAACACAACAATGTCTGAGGAGTGTGTGCAGCTCTCAGTCACCGCGCCGGTGTGGATATTGTCATTCAGAACCACAGATTATTCTTTTTGGAAGTATGACCAACATAATAATTTTCACCGGAAAATGTCATTTGAACAAGTAAGAAACATCCACTTTTGTTCTGGTTCTGACATTGCAGTAAATCACGCTGATTAAATCTAACAATCGCTTATAAGTTATGATATCGCGCAAAATATACTTTGTTCTCAAATTGTTAATGTTAACAACGTCAGCGTCACCTTCCGATATCCTTGTTTTCGCATGGGTCTGGTTGCAGTCTCTTTTTTTATGTAGGTTAGCCACTCCGAAGTCCGAACGAAGTCTTTTGCATTTTACAGCGGGTGAATCTGTTGTCACTGGTGATTGTCGTTTGAACCTTTCTGGATCCGCCATCAAATTGATAAGTTTAATTATATCAAGTGCTGTGAGAAAAGGCTATAAATCTCCACCTCCAACATCCTCAGACGCAACATAGCCTACTAGCCGAGACTCTTCTTTATGTGTACAGATGTGACGTAATGACTCAATATAGATATAGCCTACTAGCCGAGACTCTTCTTTATGTGTACAGATGTGACGTGATGACTCAATATAGCCTACTAGCCGAGACTCTTCTTTATGTGTACATATGTGACGTGATGACTCAATATAGCCTACTAGCCGAGACTCTTCTTTATGTGTACAGATGTGACGTAATGACTCAATATAGATAGCCTACTAGCCGAGACTCTTCTTTATGTGTACAGATGTGACGTAATGACTCAATATAGCCTACTAGCCGAGACTCTTCTTTATGTGTACAGATGTGACGTAATGACTCAATATAGCCTACTAGCCGAGACTCTTCTTTATGTGTACAGATGTGACGTAATGACTCAATATAGCCTACTAGCCGAGACTCTTCTTTATGTGTACAGATGTGACGTAATGACTCAATATAGCCTACTAGCCGAGACTCTTCTTTATGTGTACAGATGTGACGTGATGACTCAATATAGCCTACTAGCCGAGACTCTTCTTTATGTGTACAGATGTGACGTAATGACGCAAAGACATGCTCGAATCTCCCGCGGAAATCCACCAGTACCACTGGAATTAAAAACATTATTACAAGCTTACCGCTTTGAATCGAGCTACGGCAAGCAGATAGTTTTGAACACTGGCTGGTTATGTATTTTCTCAAATATGTTTTTTGGATAATTTTTAACCCAAAAAAAGCTACGGACTGCAGCTTTAATGTACAAAATTGTTAATTATCTTGCACCCTCATCCTTAAAAGCATTTGTTTTTTCGCGTACATAAAATTTAAGACAAACAAGAGCTTCGTCAAGAGGTGACTGTGAAGCACATTTTAGAGTAACTGAGTTTGGTCATCAGCTTTTTAAGAGCTGTTAATAATATGTATATTGGGGGATGTACGGTAGTAATTTGGATTGCAGTTTTTATTGTTATGTGATGGATTATATGTCGTATATATTTTTCATTTGTGGGGGGATTTTATCATATGTAATGATCTTATGATCTTTTGGTATGTAATGTACTTTACTGCCCAGGCACAGCAGATGAAATTTAGCTTTGTCCATTGTCCCTGTCAAATAAAGAATTAAATAAATAAAAAAATCTTCCAGATAGCTCCACGTCGATTGGTATAGCCGTGGCGTTTGGCATCTTGGGATTGTTCCTGCTGATATGTTTGATGCAGATATTCTGCAAGAAAATCAAACGCTGCAAGCGCAAAAGTAAGCAGCATCCTCATTACTGTCTAAAAATAATAATAATTAATCAATGTCCCTGACCAAACTGTGAGATAACAATTATGATATTTGCTTCCATTTTTTTCCTTAACAGACCAGTCGGTGAAAGACAAAATTTTAAAGTAAGTGAACTGACTAATATTTGTTTGTTTATGTGTGTGTGTGTGGGTGTGTGGTTCAGGTAAACCAATGGGGACAACTTTTGTTCCCCATGAGGAAATCACCTTAAATCATATATGTTTTTTGAAAATGTAAAAGTGGAGAAAGTTCTTTGAAGGTTTAGGGGCATGGTTAGGGGGTCGAATATTCGGTTTGTACAGTATAAAAATCATTGTCGATAGAAAGTCCCAATAATACATGAAAACCCAACGTCTGTGTGTGTGTTAATGGTATTCTGTTTAACAGAATAAATGTGGAATGATTGGTTGCTCATTTTTAACTTTAAATTGTGTGTATCTCTACAGGAAAGTCGGGATGAAAAATTTGCCTCCGTTTTCAATCAGCAGAATCGTTGACAAGAAATAACGCCCATCACTGCTGTCATTCTCTCAATGCCTGTAAATAGTGCACATGAATCCTGAAAGAATCTAATTTAGTCCATGTTTTCTTTCTTTACAGCACTTGTAAACTGTCATTTTTTCCATGTTATGATGTGCTAACATCTGTCAATTTTTTTATTTTTTTTTTCTGTGAAAAGTGTGAATCACGCTTCTGAAGTGAAGGTGTCAGTGATGGATGGGGATGATTCATAACTAGTTATGATCGCTTTCCCACAGCTAGGGAAAAGCAGCACAACTTGTTTTATTGAGAACGTTTCTCTTATTGTTTTTCTCATTCTCTGACTCAAAATTTGTCTCCATATCTTGCTTTTCAGTCTCACCACAAAAACATAGCGAAGCCTTTTTCTCAAGCTGAACCATTTCCACATAAAAATGACTTCAAAGGTCAACATATACACGGATGAAATATCAGTCTTCGGTTTCAGTAGAACGATAACATCATCCTCATTGTGATTGTAATGAAGTCCTCACGAGTGATATATTTCCTGTTAAGCAATATAATGTGTGTGATGTGATTTGGATCTGTATTCCTATACATCGTATCTGATGTCAAGGAAAATGTGGTCATGTTTGTATATTTTTCAGTTTAATGTATATGTGTGTGTGTGTGTGTGTGTGTGTGTGTGTGTGTGTGTGTGTGTGTGTGTGTGCGCGCGCGCGTCGAAATCTGCTAAGGGGTAAATAAATGTATGAAATCATGTTAAAATGTATCGTCTTTTATTGGGAAATTAAACATTTGATCAAACTTTGAATTGCCTTAATATTTTAAACAAATCAGAAGATAGTATTCAAAGAAGGCTACATATTATTTTTTTTTAAATCACCTGTCAAGTTTATTATATTTCATCAGCATATGAGAGTAGGGACTCATCTCCAGATCACTCATTTAACAGTTCACCTATTGCCAAAATGATGGGGGGGGAAAAGATCAGTCAAGAATAGAAAAGTATTGAAAATATTCAAACAAGGAATCAGTTATTAAATAAAAAATGTTCGTCAAAAAGAACACATTAAACATATTCACTAATGGATTGGCGTTTATTCTCTTTAGCGTGCAGTGTGAAGTATTTCACTATTCCCGGATCATTCCGATTCAATTTCAGCAATTGACGAACAAATTTATACTCACGAGCGTTATGTATTATGCGGGTTATTGTCTCTAACAGACAGCATGTCTCTAAGCCGCTCAGGCCCCATTTTCTCCCTCTTCTTGGAAAGCGATGACGTAGCAAAACATCCGTTTGTGGGGGTTTTGAATGGATGTACTCGCTGGAACTCTGCTTCTCAAAAATACTGTATTGTGCACGTTATATTTTGACAGAGATCGATGTTGTGATATTCAAAAGATGTGGATTTGAAAACAGATGGATTGTAAGGTAACATTTATTTGTGTCTTAGCCGGCAGGTATTCAGGGAAGTGATTGTTGTCCATGAGTGTGTTATGTTGATGTTTTTAGTTAGCCTACACTGTAAAAAAAAAACCGTTAAATTTACAGGAAAACCCTGGCAGCTGTGGTTACCAGGTTACCAGAGTTTTCCTGTTAAAAATACGGTAGCAACGTTTTAGGTTTTACAACTTTTAACCGTATATAATTTTACAGCAATAAACCGTATTTCATTATCTCATATAATGTTAATATACTGACCTTTTGAAGTATTAATATCTGTTTTTTTTCCATTGTAATACAATGACAGCCAACAATCACAGCAGTGATGAGTCATGTAGTCAACCAAAGCTCATCATAAGCAGGTCTTCCACAAGAAAGTTAATACTAATATATAGAAGCTGCACAGTGTCATTCACACAAACATTAAACACCATCATGGTAACTTGTTGAAATTTAAAAAATGCAATAAGCATTAATTTAAGAACATTAAATGTAACATAAAACCCTATTGTACATAACTGATTAGAAAAAAGCTAAGAAAATTATGAAGAAACAGTTATTTAAAAACAAAATACATCAAATGTGAAGTGTCACGCAGGGAATTGTGGGATTGTCAATTTACATTTTTTCACTGTAAATTATACAATGACTTGTTCTTTTTCACTTCCAAAAACTGTAAATTTAACGGTATTTTACAGTAGAATTAAATTAAATGTACCATTATATATATCACAGTTATTTACCGTATATAGTAAGGAAACTTTCTGTTAACCAATTAACAGTTTTTCACTGTAGCATTTTTACAGTGTTTTACCGTTAAAATCACGATCATTTTTTACAGTGTAACCGACAGTGTTGCCAGATTGGAAATGTCCAAGTACCGCACCAGAAGCTCAAAATTATCGTATTTGGAAGAAAATTATCGTTCACGAGTTAAACGTACAGAATACAGCTATTTATCTAGACCAACAACTTTTTGACACGACCTGGAAATTACTTTATTGCTAAACTATCGGCCTTAGATTGGAAACAACTGATCTAAGCCCCGCGGCAGGAACGTTAACTTTTCCTCGTCAGAGTCATTCTCCACGATGATTGGCCGACAAAACGTAACGTGAGATGTAAGACATGCGTAACACCACGTTTACGTTTTCCTCACAATCATGACGGTAGACGTAGGATCCACAGCTATAATGAGTATAGAATCCCTATTATTACAAATGACTTTCATTATCGTACATTACTGGATTTTTTTCATTATTGATCGTACATCGTACAAATAAAATGTAATACATGTTTTTAAATTCAACTCAAATTATTTTGTTCATAATATACAAATATATTACATTTGCATTTTGCAAAATACTGTAGAAGCATTTTTACTAGTGGTTTCTGACTTCTGGACCACGTCTATTGTGGTTGTTTCCTCTTTAACAACATTTCCTCTTTAATCTCTGGTGATAATCGTTATGTTTTTCATTTGATTCCGGTCTTGACAGCATTTGACCGCAGCTCACTAAACTGCAAGCCAGACAAAACTTCATTAGTTGTTCAACTGACGCAGTTCATGCGAACATTTGGGCCAGTTGTTTCCTGAGTTGGCATGCAGCAAGCGAGGTGCATGGTCGTGGTCTGTAGGAGGTGGTCTGTAGGAAGTGAGAAACAGCAGTTAACATCTATGGTTCAGCAGTCTCTCGATAACTTTTGTGACACCATGCCTGTTTAAAACAGTTGGTGCAGTGCAACTTACACACCCACGGGATGATAAAAACTCTGTCTCAAAACTTCAGACACTGGCACATGGTGGCTTGATTACTTATAGGAATGGTACATGTAAAAATAAAAAATATTTTTGATTCTTTATCCACTATAATGACATTCAAAACCCACATGCTGTTATTTTTCACTGGAACACAACAGAAGACGTTTTTTAAGAATCTTGGATGTTTTCCTTACAGTGACATATTCACTAATTATATATATTAAGTAAAACAAAAATGAAAAATGTCCCATAGCATGGAGCGAGCAAAGCAGAGCTAAGGTTTTCAATGAATTCCTATAAAGGTTGAGCATCACTCGCGCGCTGTGAATTGTTGGATTGACAGCGGGTCAGAGAAAGCATTGAGAGCGGCTGAGAGCATCCAAAAGTTGAGAGAAAAAGTAAAATATATATATATAAAAAAATTATTTAAACCTTACTCCCCTGGCCTCAAGAAGCGTGCTGGAGGCTGCGCTCTTTAGCGTCCTTGTTATCGCAATCGCCTCGAAAGCCCGGTTTGAATCCCGCTTCAAGCGGTCTAGGTAGAACCGGAGGATACAAGGATACAATTTATTAACTGGTCAGGTTTTATACCCTCAGATAAAGCCTCACAGGCGCCCCTGGCAACCAGCTTATGGATTTATTTCACAGAGGACAGCCTAATTCATGAGTTTGCCTGCCCATCCAGTCTTAATAATTAATGGTAAACACACTTGGCATGCTGTCTTCAAGAGGAACTTATGTTTGGAACTTCATTATATCTTCTAGTGAAATGTGAGAATGCTTTTGTGAACTGCAATTATTCTTACACGGGCAGTTGCCTTCACTGCACCAGTCAACTTCAATGCATTCAATTGAACCTTTTTTTTTTTTTTTAGCAGTCTGAGATCTACAGAGCTACTGAGAAACTACAGCTAAAGAAAACCACATTCCTCATCGGGTCTTCCTACTCACTTCCGTTCTGGCACTCAGCACAAGCTGTGCATCAGGCCATGTATGTGTCAGAACATTTAGACTTTTTGAATGTCGCATGATCTTACACAATGAAGTTGCATGTCATTCCATGGTTGTCTACTTTGTTGACTCATTAAAAGTTGATAACAGCATGGAAGTAGTAGGTGGTTATCTTTTATATACATATCTACATTTTTGGGTGGGGCAAACCCTGATATATTTTTTATGCGCAAAATTTCGGTCATGTGTGGGATACTATCTGAAAGGGCGGCGAGGACGCTGAGAAACTGCTGTCATGACTAAGCTGAATATTCGCATACTGGGGGAGGGTGATGTCAACTTAACCCACAAAAACTCCATGATTGTCCCATTTTCTTCTAACCTGTAGGTATCCTTCCTTTAAAGCGTGACACAGATAAACAAAGGCAGTCTGTCAAGGTCACTAGATGAGAAGATTAGTATTTCTTCTATAGTAGAATTTCCAGTGAGTGGGTTTTGAGATCTAGGTTTTTTTTTTTTTTTTTGTTATTCTCCGATTTGGGTAGTTGGCGTTTCATGTCAAGTAACGGCTGTGTGAACTGCAGAACTGTGATCTGTAAAACTGATTGGCTGATGGAAGTCCTGAGATCAGAAAACAAAGACAGATGACAGGAAGTAGCCTATAGTTTGCTTTTTAAATACTTGCTTTTTTTAAAGAATTGGGAACTTGTAAAACATCTACTATACTTAAAGGTGAAAATTCTGTAATTAATTACTCACCCTCATGTCGTTCCAAGCCTAAGACTTTCGTTCATCTTCCGAGCACAAATGAAGATCTTCATTTTTGATGAAATCAGAGTTTTCTCTCCCTCCATTGACAGCTATCCAACTACT